CAGTTATGTTATTAAAATGCAGTAGACAGCTTCACTTTGGCAGATACCCAGGAAGATGTTGTGAGAAATTGTAAAGCTGTATAAAATTGATCATTTGCTATGGTTTAATAAAAGTAAGTACATAAGCACTAAAAAGTAGAAGCTGGATAAAAAAAAAAAAAAGTATAGGTTTTTTTTACTACAACCTGGAAGTCTCTCACTAATATAATAGAAATGTCTGTAATATAATTTGTATTGCATTTGTGTATTACATTTCATGTTTTCCCATCTATATGTTTTTGTCCTTGTCAGCACAAGCATTCTTGGCTCCTTTCCCTTTTTTCTTCTTCTTTTTATCTAATAATTTACTGTAGCAATTTAAAAAAAACCCACAACTCTAATGACACTTCTGTGATCATCAGAATAAACCGCAAAAGCAAAAGATAGTAATTGTAACTACATCCTCTCTTGGCCTACCTTTCCTCTCTCCACCACCATGGGCAAACTTCTGAAGCTTTCACTCCATTTTTTTCTGTTCTCATTTGGATGAATCTCCATCAATGGAATCAACGGCAATATTTGTTTGAGAAAGAGGTGGATTAAAATGAAGTGATAGGTTCAAGATATGGCCTCTCTTCCCTGAAGCGTGTCCGTTCTTATTCCCCTTTGCATCTGCCCATGCAGCCACTTGTATTTTAAGTGTACCTTCCCACTCTCAGACCCATCTGGTCATGACACTGCTCGGGGATGACTAAACCAGCACACAGGAGCTTCATGTGACCATATTGTCACTTGGGATTCATTTTTTCCCCCTTGATTCCTCTCAATCATTCCCAGGGGCTGTAGCTTACAAGCCTATTGCTCCCTCTAGAGCCCTTCAGTGCTGTTCTGGGGGACCACTTAAATAATCTCTTATCATGCTAGATGTGATCTCACTGCTCGATTTGCTTCCAGCCTCTGTCAAATGGGATGCAAACTGAATGCAGACTTCAAGTTCCCGTATTGCAGTGTAGAGCATGGGCACAACGCCTTCAGATGCTTGGGTCTTGGAGGCTGATCTTCACCTTTTGCTGGTCCAGGAACAGCATTGCTGAGCAGGCACTGGCAGACAATATTATGCTTTGCACTTCCTCTTAAGTTCTTGCAGCTTTGCACAGCATCAAGGGATCTCACAAGCAATCCTGTAAAGTCGTGAGCTGGGGACAACTGGTTTAATCCATCTGACTTTGGCTGTCAAATCAGCAGTGACTCTTGAGGGTACTTTTGGTAATAGAGTCTCTAGCAAACCCATCAACAGAGTCTCTAAGTATCATTTCAAAAGTCAGGATTGTATTTTGGCCAGAAATGCCACCGTTCCCACTATTTTTTCTAGAAGGCTTCTGACCTTAATGATCTTGCAAAAATAAACATTACCAAGCAATTTTTCCTACCCTAGATGCGAGTGAAGACTTGATGGAAGCAGTGAGTCTTGTGTTCTGCTCTTACGCATATGAGGGTATTCTTGGTGTCTGTGGGAAGGGTTTCCCAAGGCAGAGCCCTGTCCCTGTGTCTGGAGAGTTTAATCCTTGTGCTCATGAGGTGCTATATGCCTAATATTAGGAAGTGTCAGGGATAGTTACAGAGAGAGCAACAGTCTCTGAAATGACTCTTGCACCCTAGAGGCGCACAGCTTGACATCGACGTCACCTGTCAGACCTTCCATCATCAGCAAAGACTCAGTAGCAATTGGCTTCAGTATACTGAGACACCCATCATAGATCCGAGCTAATTTGTGTATGGTTTTCTGTAGATTTATGGGACTGTTTAACCCAGAGGGTCTCAGACTTTGATGTTAGCTAATGGAGGGCTACGTGTCAGCTTGGTGTGACTGTTAGGATGTCAGCAAATTGTCATCATGACTATTGAAGGCATCCAAACCAGACCAGTGTTTCAGAATGCCTTCTTGGGGTATTTGGTCCCTCTTTACATTCACTAGAGAGGTCAGTGCATCACTTAGGCTGTCTGACTCAGTTTTGGTAGCACTCACCCCTTTCTGAGTTGAGCAGAGACACTAAATGCTCAGTGTAAGTCATCAAGCAATAGTCAGGAGGTCCACTTAGGCATCAGAAATCATGGCATCTAATATAGGTTGCAGTGCTAGGGAGTCTGAATACAGCCTCCACTGACTAATCGGGTATTATTTCCACCAGTTTAGTTGGCTGCATGTTGCATATGTATGTGTGTGTGTGTGTGCACGCGCTTGTGTGTAAGCATATTATGCAAGTGTATGTTGAAAATAAAAGTCTGTATCATGGTTGTATCATAATACATAAAAGCAAGGAGGAGACATTTATAGTCCTGCTGTCATCCCAAAACAGGTATATCCATAAACCACAGATTTCACTAACAATACCTCCAATCTAAATCTACCTTTGTCAACCAGACACATAAATGATGAATAATGTAGAAGCTATGAATAAAAGTGATAAAACCACTTAATAAAGCTAAATGTAAATGAAACAGAATAACCAGAGAAAAAACACAGCCAGAATTATTGGTAAGCAGCAATGAATGACACGTAGGTTTATAGTTATATAGTCCTGTGGTTAACCAGTATGTGGTTAATGAATAGTCTTCTGTCAACAAGAAGTAAGCTAAGTATCTTCCTGCTTTTGCCAACTTGTGTCACAACCTTATACGGGCTCTGAGATCTCGTCCGTTCTGTACAAAATCTTGAAAGTCACTTCACCTCCCTTTTCTTCTTTATTCTGGTCTTGTAGACTGGTAATGTGGCCACATTTTACTACATTTCTCTATTGTTATAATTGTTTTTCTATGTTTCTTTTCTATCTGGGAAATCCACAAGAGCCTTCTAGAGAAATAAATTGACTACATATTCTAGCAGAGCAGCAGGAGCACCTTACCTAATGCATTTTCAAAAAAAACCCGAAACAAATAGGAAGCAAGATGGAAATGCTGCAGATTAGTAAGGAGAATAAAAGTATATTTTCAGAGTCTTTTTCAATCGTAGTGATCTAAGTGTTGTATATAGCGATACAGGAGAACTGTTTTTGGAAATAAGGAAGATCTACAGGTGCCTCTCTGATACTTGTTAAATCTAATGCCATGGATGAAAAAGTTTTTTGAAAGGAACTTTTTATTCAACTTTATTACTGATACATCATAGAAAGAACAGTTGTGCTGGCAGAGAAAGAGTAATAAAGCTATAAAGCTTTATCATGTTGTTTGGTATTTAAAGAATGTCAGGAACACAGCAGTCCTTGATCTGAGTAGACAGAAGACCCAGGAGTTGAGGGCCAAAGGCCTTGAGACAGGGATCTGAAATGACTTCTGCTTCTGTTGCAATTCTTTCAATCTCAGGGACCGCTTTCTAGCTGGGATGTGGAGGTGGGAAGACACTGGCCTGGGATTTGCGAGGCTTGTGTTTCAGCTTCTGTTTTGCTGGGGCTGCGATTCAGGATCATAGTTGGATTTCATTGCAGCAGCCAAAGTGGTTAGCATCGCTGGCCACAGGCTTCCTGTGAGAGCTTGGCCAAGACACTTTATTTCCCCACAGTTCCTCATCCGTTGAGTGGGGAGAATACCTTCCTAATTCACAGGGATGTGATGAGGACAGTTTCCAGTAACAGCTATGTGTGTGTGCTTGCCGTGATGTTGATGCAGACCATTAGCACCGAAGTAGGAACTGCATTAAGAGAAGTATTGAATTGTAAGTGAATGTGCGTAGGGCAGGAGGGAATACTGCTGCTAGAGGCAGGCATTTGTATTTACATCTATATTTGAATTTATATTTATTTATACATATAAACGAAGCAAACAATAAAAATGGGAAATCTTAGAAGGGAAGAAACTCAGCAGTCAGGAAGACTGGAGCCAAGTGGTCAAATGAAGCAGGCAGATCAGTATGGGAAAACTCACATAGCATGTGCCCAAAGGAGGAGACCCTCCATTTTCTTACAACAGTTCCTGGTTATCTAACTTGGGGTGATGTCCCTTGATGTCTCTTACTGATAACAAAGATTCCTGTCAGTATCTGAGTCCTCTGTGATGCTGCGATAACTATGCTAAAGCTGCTGACAGCCAATGTTTTTATTGTTGTCCAGGCCAAAGCCATAATGAATGCATATATGAGGTCTTATCAAAGATGCAGAATGTTGCTTTTGTTATTTAAAAGTACCTGAAGTAATTGCTGACATTGGCCAAAAGCAAATCCAGGGGTAGCAGGATCTGAAGGCATTGCAGTCACAAGGTGATACGAAACCCTCCCAGCAGCCAGCAAAATGAGTACTTTTCCCAACTTCTTAGAACCGTGGCATGCACATAGCAATTTTGAAAAGGCCTTCACGGTTTTCTTACCGAATAATAGAGGAACTAAGCATAATGCTCTGCTATGTCTTCATAAAATGTCGTAATTCTCTGTGGACAAACTGTGGGGATTTTTTTATTTTTCCCATTCCCTTGTTTCTTGGCATTGCAGTAGCAGCTTATTTTTAAAGAATTCTGGTTCGCAGTATGGAATTGATCTAATGCTAGCTTCAGCCACAAAGCGTGGGATTTTACGGTCTGCCTAGGGGATCCGAGCACCCAGTTCTCTTTAATTTTAACGAGCTCTGTTGATCAGATTCCCGTGGCAGTTTTGGAAGAGTCAGTCACAATTTCTAAGCCTCTCCGAACTAACGCCCTTTAGAAAGTACAGATAACATACCAGCAGTCATGTAGATCAGATCAGATAAACTCTAACTGTTAGAGGTAACCTCCTTTTTTTGCAAACAAAGTGTAGATCATTTAAATATAAATTAATTTTTTTTCCCCGAAAGCTTTGGGCAGTTGCCACAGAGGGAACGTATCCAGCACCAGGCAATTGTGAGGTTATACACCCCACTCTCTGGGCACATATCTATCTTCAGATACGGACGGCTGATGGGTTGTAGTGCCATTTGGTGTGTTTGGGTGCTATCTGAAATGAGGAGCACACCTTTTCTTAACACATGTGCTCAGTAACGTTTTTTTTCCTGTTGCAGGGAAGAGCTTCACGCTGACTATCACCGTCTTCACAAATCCACCACAAGTAGCCACATACCACAGAGCCATCAAGATAACAGTGGACGGACCTCGCGAACCCAGAAGTAAGTGAGCTGATGACATAAGTGAGCATTTGCAGAAGGCCAGGTTGGCGGTTTAGTATAGTAGTTCATCACCAGCCGCATGAAACGCAGCAATATCCAATGCTGGTGGAACAGTGGGTATGTGTTAAGCCATGGCCATCCTACAAATGGTTTTAATTATACCTTCCTGAAGATTTATTTTTCACGGGTGTCCAGCTTATCTAGAATATGACTTGTATTGCGTTTCTAAACTATCTACCCGGGGATGTCTTGGAGCATACCCAAACGCTGACAGAAGGGATGCTGGTAAAAGGTGGGGAGCATATACCTGACGCATCATTTCTTGCTAGTCTTGCCTTTCAGATGCTAAGAGGATTTTAAAGCATTGGAAACCAATATGTCATTGATCTGACTTTTCAAGCTCAGCCACCCTGCAAAAATAAATAAATGCCTGAGAGAGGACACCCAGTTGCTGCCTTGTGGAGTTCACTGTACTTCATGCTGTCGTATAGCTTAGGAGCACCCATTTCCACAGGCAGCCAATCTTTCCTCTTTTTTCCCTTTCCTTTTTTAAGAATTAAGTACAAGGAAGAGACGAATGGTTTGATATCTCCAGGGGAATACCTGCACCTTTCAGGCAGGTGGTTGTTTTGTCCGGGTGGTGAGGGCAGGCTGATTTGTCTGCAGGGTAAAGTGGAGTGAGGGTGGAGCAGATCCACAGATAGAGATCCTTCTGCAGCACATACGCTGCCTGTTACCAGAGGCCATCGTTAACCTCAGTCACTAGCCCAAATGGGGCATTTTTATATTTTTATTGAAATGCCCTGATGTAAATTGAGGTTTGTGGTTGGTTTCTTACACTCCTCCCGCACGCTTGGCAGAAGTTCTGGTGTTGCTTAAGTGGAATCGTCCCAGGAGAAGAGAGCAGCAGGATTCAAACACCCACTAGAGAACGAGACTCACAGCTCGGGGTTGCTTAACTGGGGAGGGAAGAAAAGAAAGGTTTGAAACATCAACTGAAATAGCTTAGAAGACTCGTGTCTTGCCCATGCATTTTCTTCTCAAGCCTTCATTTGTCTGAGTTGCATCATGATGCTGCATGCATTTAGTGGAAAAATCTGACCTATATTTTTTGAATTTGAGGCCAGACTTTTAAACAAATACTGCTGTCGGGGTAAGGCTTCTTATTTAGTTTGAGTTTTGTTTTTTGTTTGTTTGTTTGTTTTCAAATTGTAGTTAAATTGTCCCTGAAAAATATCCCCAGTGAATCAGCCAGCTGTGCACATAAAAAAAAGATATTTGTATATGCAAGTTCCAGATTTGCATATGCAATTACCTGGGCATGTTCATAGTTTGCAGACAACAAACAAGCTTTAGTTTTTTGAATATGAGTCTGCTAGAAGGGTAAGAAACAAAATCATCCTGCAGGCATACCTACTGTTTTAAATCAATTCTTCAGTTGGTATAATAGTTAATATTTAATAAGATTCTACATTTTAAAAAGGAAGTAGAAATATAATACATACTGAAGCAACATACGTATCTTCCCAACTCAAATGTATGTAAAAGCTTCCTTGTAAATAGTTTCACTTTGTCATAGGCAAATCAGCTGCATAGTGGAGGAGGCTCTATGCATATCAGGAGAAGAGGTCAGACTCTCTCCGCAGTAGGAATGCACAGTTCCTTTTATCGTTAAGTCATATGTGATGCAGGGTAAAAGGGATTATGCTCCTTTCATTTGTAAGTGAGCTGCAAAGTCCTTCCATTTAACTTCTCACCAAGGGTTTCTGAATCACAGTGGCTGTTGGAATCTGTCTGGTATCTCCTCTCGTTTTTATATCTTTGACTGAGATACCAATTGGCCTGAAGAAACGTACCACGGGCTGTGAAGGAAAAAAGAAGTGGTACCCATTGCGTTCTCCATTCTGAGACAGTTCTGGAGAGTTTGGGCTATATACTTATTTTTCTATACTCTTGCTTGGTGAGTGTATCCTATTTGCATTGGTTCAATTAAATCAGCTACATGTGTAGCCTGTACAAAAATAGATTGCAGGGCTGTTACCTGCAGAAACTCACATACGAGATTTGTGGTTAGATGTATTAAAACATGCATGCTTCATACTGAAGGGATGAAAAATTATATCAGCCTTCTTGTATTGAGAGTAGAATCAAAATAAAACCTGCTAGATTAGAGTATTTCTAGTTTCAGTAATTGATATTTGGGAACGTTCGTGCTTACAGATCCATGACTTGCTTGCTTGAGCTAAAGGAATTACAGAAATACTGAGATGTATTTTCTAAGATGTCCCGATTCAAAAGAAATCCACGGAAGACAGTAATAGGAAGAAAATTAGATATTGCTGTCTTACAGAGATCTAGAAAAAACATGCTGAAGTCCAAAACCAACTCCAGCAACAGTTTTGGATTCATTTACTTCTTGATTCATTTACGGTTCTCTCAGACAGCCTAAATTCTTGTGAGTGCTTGCATTCTCTGTGACAAATGCTGGAGGGTAAGGAGCCATTTCTGAGGATGGAGGCCATCTGAGACAAAAGTCAGAACTTCACACCAGGACCATTTTTAGTGAACTTTGCAGGACATAGAAATACCTTTTTTAAAAAAAACACATTAAGATTGATTAACTTCAGAAGTAACAGAAACATTTTCTTTTGTCTTTAGAGAATGTTGGCTCAATAGCAGTTTCTGAGCCAGAATTAGACAGGTTCTCAAAGTGGTTTTTTTTAATGCAAAAGGACAGCCTCTTCAACTGGGCGTGCTTGGGGGAAAAACTTCAAAAAGTAATACAAAAGGGGATTAGAAGAAATTTGGAAAACAGAAAAATACTCAAACCAAAAGTTCCAAAAGCAAATATGCAAAGCACAGACTTTTTGGCTCACTAGCATACATGAAGATGTCACGATAGGTGACGATAACCTGGTGTGTATTATCACACGTGCCACCATCACTCTGCACAGAGGCCTGCAGACTTTGCGTTCTTGCACGTCCCAGTGTACGTTTGATCACGGTTACTGTGATGGCCAGGTCTTTGCCTAGCAGCATATTTGCCTATGTAACTACCGGAATTGCATTTACAGCTCTGATAATTACTCATGCACAAGACTTACACCATTGTCCTTTTCTTGCCATTGAACTTCTGACTGTGCCTATCCAGATGATACTTCTCGTCAAATTGTCATGGCTTGTAGAGAGTGCCAAAGTACTTAAGAATCTGGCTCTTCCTTCACTGCATTCATTATGTATTTTTAAAATCTCTTTTGAACTTAGCATTTTCATTCTCCAGCTCTGAATAAATGCTTATTTTCAAAATTTTTTTATAAAAAGAAATAATACTGCACTGTCAGGGAGAAGGGCAAGATGACCTAACCCATCATTTTCTTCTCCAACTTCTATGGTTCTATGATTCATAAAGCAATTTATGTTTTTATGAGCTAAGTCCATGGGGAAAATCATTAGCAGTAACCAGATCAAGAGTAGTGCTCCTGATGAAAATACTTTTGGTTAGGAAACTTGGTAGAAATAGCATGACTCTTAAATTAAATATTTCCCTTAGGCCATTTGACCTACTGTGTACATCTGCTGAAAAATTAGGTTTTTCTTCTTTTGACTGCTTCTTTCTGTTTTTCTCATTGAATTGTTTTAACCTACATAGCTCTGAAAAATTCACTAATGGACCAGGTGCCTGAAAATGGTGCAAAATGAAAAGGCGACATGGATTTAGCACCAGTGGGCCTGAGATGTCCAAGGCTAAGCTGGGCATTAAATGTGATTATCCCGCATTGGATATGTGGTTTTCCCAAATACTTTTTTGGCATCCTTATATCAAAGGGCAGGATACTGAGGAGAAGGGACAGAGAGAATAATATTGCTGAGCAGTACTTGAGAAGGAGCTTAAAAAGCTCCTGGCCCAAGAAGTGCCTCTTTAGGAATGGAAATTTCCTTTTGCCTCTTGGCAAAGCTCAGCAGGGGTGGGGGCGGGTACTTTGGTATTTTTGGCCTTTGGTCAACCGTAGTTAAGGACACCCTCAGACCCTGATCTGAAGTGATCCGATCTCATGTCTCACCCGTAAGGTTCAAGGGAAGCCCATGGCTTGTAGCTGTTCTGAAGGAAATCTTCAAATGCTCCCTTGCCCAGCCTGAGGTCTTTTTTGAGGGAATCCCCAAGGACTGCTGTTAAGTGCACCTGATCTGCTTATCCTTTCTTCTGCCCCATCCAACCTTCATACACAGACTTAGACTCCCAGAGCAGTTTCTAGGAGGAGAGTCGACAGAGCCATGAGAGGCCAGCATCCCCCCTCCCATGGCAGAAGTGAGGAAGACTCTGCACGTGTCAGGCTGGGGAGGGATGATTCCTCTGAGGGTTTCACATCACTTCCACCTTCAGCCTTTCATGCAAGGAAAAGCCGAACTGTTCTCCAGAAAACCTTTTCATCTCAATGAGCTGAAATAATACTGAACGCCTTCGTTTCTTGCATGCTTCCTGCTGCAAGTGCCTCCATCTGTTGGAAACTGAGACTGACATGTACCAACAAACAGTTCAGAAACCATGAAAAAATGAGTCATCATGTCATGGGAATAGACCCATCATATAAATGTCATTGATGGCTTTTCAGATACTTCCATTCACCTGGAGACTTAAAAACTACTTAGCAGAAAACGTGTAGAGGAGAAGGTGGTGTTTACGAGTTGATTGCCTATATAACAGAAACGCAACGGGGACTCCTTCTTCCTTTGCTAGCACTAGCTGTGTGCTCCGCAGCACATCGCCCTCTCTGTGGTATCACAACCCAGCTTTGCTAATCACTTTTCAAAAAATCTTGGCTCAGGTACTTGCCTCCGAGAGCTTCCAATCTAAATAGACCGTGTACAGACAAAAGAAAGGGATGGGCTGCAAGAAAAGCCCGACGGTTGCGCGCTGCCGGCTCTGCGCCTCTGTGTTTGTGTCCCCGCGTCCTATTGTCTGGCTGACACTGATGTGGGTGGACTAGGGCTTAAATTATGGG